TATTCAGCAAATGGAAAAAGTGGAGGCTGGAGTCCTAAAAACCCAGGGGGAAAATGAGGACCCAGATTGTTGTTGGGGGCAATATGCTGACTCTGTAAACCGCTTAGAGAGGGCTGAAAGCCCTATGAAGCGGTATATAAGTGTAACTGCTATTGCTATACCTTTTACCTTAAGCTGTCTACCGTGGACCTTACACATTTCTTTAGAGGTCCCTAAGGGGGCGTGCATAAGCGCACCAGCGTGCCTACCATCCCTGTCCTAGTGTCCCATTTATATGTATTCTTTTTATGTATTTATGGCTATGTTTTGCTTATGTATATCCATTTATTTGTGCCATTTTTTCCCACGTGTTTTTCATACTCGCTTCTTTGTACTTGTTGACAAATAAATACATAGATAAATATTACTGTTTGTGACTAATAGGCTGTCATTGGAATGAGGGAGGAGATGCAGTCTGCGGTTCTCCAGATCTTTCAGCCTTCAATTCTGCACAGCAATGGCAAAGGATTAGAGTCCAAAAATATCTGGAGGAGTCAAGTGTGCCTATCCTCGCTCTAAGATTAAGGGTGCTATACTGCTGCAGTTAGAAAGTCAGCAAACCTTTGATGGAAAAAAAATGGGAAGGAGGCTGCAACTTAGATTATGACCTTTGGACATAGTCTCAGAATCATCTTGGCATTTGAAGGGACTAGGATATTTTTCACATCAAATATAAGCTACTAGCTGATAACCTGGCGTTGCCTGGGTATTTATTTATAGGGGGGAAATGTCCAGGCCAAACATCATTTCTAACATTGGATTTTCCACCTTAGCAGAGGGAGCCTCCTTGTGGAGTACTATGAAGCCATTACCATGGCAACTCCACTGCGCTGTGCAGTAGAAGCTATTTTAAGGCACAACAGGCTGTATCTTAACAGAACACCCCCCCCCCAAGGGGTGTTAGGGGTGTCTTACCTCCACAGGTAAGACAGATGGTAACTTACTCTCTTTTCCAGAGAGTAAGTCATCTGGGTACCAAGTTTGGTTGAAATTGCTCGAGGCGTTCCAGAGTTACGCTGGAACATACAAACACACAGCCATTTATATATATTATATAGATTGTTAAAGGGTCCTCCCCCTCCGCTTTCTTCCTACAGAGCACAGTTAGTGAATCAACTCTGATCGCTCTCCTGGCAGCCAGAAAGAATAAAATTCTCGAAATGAAAACCTCTGAGCCAAGTGTAGATGATTCCACTCTGAATTCTCGTCTCATCGCCTACGCTTCTGATCAGGTGAGTTCTTCCTTACCTATATCATTCTGTATGAACTTTTAAGTTTTTACTGGAACCCCATCTGGGGAAAAAATAATCACGAGGCAGGGAACAGAAACCGAAAATAATAGTGGCCATAAACATGCCCTAGAAATAGAAATACAGAATAGAATACAGAATAACAGAGTTGGAAGGGGCCTTGAAGGCCATCTAGTCGAACCCTCTGCTCAAGCAGGAGACCCTTTGTCAGGGTTCCAAATAGCATCCTCAAACAAATAACACCCCAAGGCTAGAAGTTTCTCAAAGTAATGCTGGCACATCTGGGAAAACCCAAATCTGAAAGTTCTCAGGTTTTCCCACCCAATTGAAAGTTCAAGACCTTGCCCCAACACCCAGAAGTCCATTACATGGTCCAATCTTCCACTGCCACGAAGACAGAATCCACCCATCCAGTGGCAACCAGGTGCAGAGACAAAGGATGACCTTGAGTTTGTAAAAGAATGTTGTTATGGCTACATATCACCCAACTCTGTATAATCCCCCCTCCTGTTTTCCCACAACGGAAAATGAATAGTAGAAAGTGTGGCAGGCCCAAAGTCCAAAAGAAAAGATGGCTTGCAGGGCTGACACCGTACACCATTCTGGACAAATGGAGGTCCAATCTTTTCTTGAAAACTTCCCGTGATGAAGCACCCCCAATTTCTGGAGGCAAAACCCATTCCACTGATTAATTGTTCTCGCTGTCGGGAAAATTCTCCTTGGTTCTAGGTTGGATCTCTCCTTGTTAAGTTTCCATCCATTACTTCCTGCTTCCTATTCATATCTGTCACATGCACATCGCCCTCTTCACACATGCAAATGCATTAAAGCTTTTCCCCCCATACAGCTGTGTTCTCAGATGGCAACAGGACAAGCAACAGGTTTAGCTATCCAACTTGTAAATTGTTAAATTTATCTTTTACCAACCAAGAAATAAAAGGAGACTAGTATAGATCTATTTCAAACTATTTACCGGTAGCTCTTATCAGCTACCCTTCTGGGACTTGAACCAGGGATACTTGCATATTAGGTAGATGCATTAACCTCTAAGCCACAGGCTCTCCTCACTTTGTTGGCTGTACCAGGGGAGAGATTAAGTGTTTTTTTCCTGGCGGGATTGGCATGCTTCATCCCATAATTGGGTAGACCAGGTTGCGCTGATAGACCGGTCCCACCGGAGAAAAACCACTCCACTTGTAAATTATTCCTTATTTATTATTTGGTGTTTCCCCAAATATACTTTCTGAACAGCAGGGTGCAGCCTTGCCTAGGAATGGCAGGTTTGCAGACAGGAAAGGATGCAATTTTATGTTGGCGCTCCTGAAAATATATATATATATAGTGTGTGTGTGTGTGTGTATAGATAGATAGGTAGGTAGACAGACAGACAGACAGACAGACAGACAGACAGACAGACAGACAGACAGACAGACAGCCCGTCCATTCTTAGGGGCTTACATTTATCTACTACAGTTGTGGGATTCAAACTTTTTACTACCGGTTCTGTGGGGGTGGCTTAGTGAGTGTGGCAGGGGAAGGTTATTGCAAAATCCCCATTTCCTCCTGATCATCTGGGACTCAGGAGGCAAAGAATAGATGGGGCGGGGCCAGCCAGAGGTGGTATTTGCTCAAACTACTCAAAATTTCCGCTACCGGTTCTCCAGAACTGGTCAGAACCTGCTGAATCCCACCTCTGACCTACTACCATCATGTGTATCTTGCCTTGAATCGGACTGCCAATCCATTTGCTCTTATGGTGTATTCTCGGCAGTCTCCAAAGCACCAGAAGGCAGGACAAGAAGCAATGGGTGGAAACTAATCAAGGAGAGAAGCAACCTAGGACTAAGG